TTTCAATTCATAAAGTAGGAACTTCTCACAGGATAAATTTTTTATCGAAAATTAGAACGAGAGATTGGTCGGCTTTAAGTGAAAATACATGAGACAGACATCTACATATTTATTTTACGATATAAAAATATGAAAAATTAAAAACAAATTAGATTTAAAAACAATATTATTTAATTTATTAGAATGATATTTTTATGTATCTCGTTTCACCTAACCTAAAAACTATTCACTAACCTGCTTACCCACACAGCACAACATCTTACACCAGGCCTACAGCAGGCTTACATGTAAGGTTTGTAAGGTAACATCGTAAGCCCATAGTAGACTTACAGTAAACCTAAAATGTCCGCCTTACAGTAAGCTTACATGGTAGGGTCGAGGTAAGCTTACATGGTAGGGTCGAGGTAAGCTTACACGGTAAGGTCGAGGTAAGCTTACACGGTAAGGTCGAGGTAAGCTTACATGGTAGGGTCGAGGTAAGCTTACATGGTAGGGTCGAGGTAAGCTTACATGGTAGGGTCGAGGTAAGCTTACACGGTAAGGTCGAGGTAAGCTTATGAGTAAAGGCTGTGGTAAGGTTATTATTAAGTTGTAAGGTTGAGGTAAGGTTGTGGTAAGCTTACAAGGTAAGGCAAGTTATATTCAAATAATAATATTAATAATAAATAAATATTCAATAAAAAAATTTTTCTTTTGCCTTATTCTATTTTGGGAACCTATCATTTCGCAGAAAGTTTTGAAAACAAATTTGGGAGGAGTAGGATTCGAACCCGGGACCGAAGTATATACCTAACAACCTAACCAACTGAGCTAAACGGGGAACTGACAATGAGAAAAGTAATCTTACTTTTAAAGTGGAACCAAGAAGATAATCAACTCCTTAAAAGCAAGATTACTTTTCTCATTGTCAGTTCCCCGTTTAGCTCAGTTGGTTAGGTTGTTAGGTATATACTTCGGTCCCGGGTTCGAATCCTACTCCTCCCAAATTTGTTTTCAAAACTTTCTGCGAAATGATAGGTTCCCAAAATAGAATAAGGCAAAAGAAAAATTTTTTTATTGAATATTTATTTATTATTAATATTATTATTTGAATATAACTTGCCTTACCTTGTAAGCTTACCACAACCTTACCTCAACCTTACAACTTAATAATAACCTTACCACAGCCTTTACTCATAGGCTTACCTCGACCTTACCGTGTAAGCTTACCTCGACCCTACCATGTAAGCTTACCTCGACCCTACCATGTAAGCTTACCTCGACCCTACCATGTAAGCTTACCTCGACCTTACCGTGTAAGCTTACCTCGACCTTACCGTGTAAGCTTACCTCGACCCTACCATGTAAGCTTACCTCGACCCTACCATGTAAGCTTACTGTAAGGCGGACATTTTAGGTTTACTGTAAGTCTACTATGGGCTTACGATGTTACCTTACAAACCTTACATGTAAGCCTGCTGTAGGCCTGGTGTAAGATGTTGTGCTGTGTGGGTATAGATACATAGAAAGACAGTGTGCTTGCATTTTTTACTTATGCCTATACATCTATTATTTTACCACTCGCTGATATTAATCCACTTATTTCATGTGGATTATCTCTCATGTTTGAAGTTTGCAAACAAAATGCAATAAACTTGATTGATTTCGATTTTTCCACTCTTGCAGTTTATTACAAAACATAACATAACCGGCATTAATTAGCTTCTCACCCTCACTAAATGCGTCGAATTTGTAAAAACTAATATTTCATTCAATGAAAGCTGCATTGTTTGATTTTCAATAAAAATTGTAAATGTTTACTTTATCTGTCATTAAAACACACCGATCTCTCCGATCATATTGGTTAGCGACGTCACGACCACCGTTCCCTATCATAAAGAAAGGAAAATAAATAGATAACAAAATTAGCAAAAAATAGAAATAATAAATAAAAAAAAAAAATGTTAGTGTTGAATTGGTTTTTACACGAAAATGATGTTTTGCTTTCGAATAAAATGAATTTCTTAAAAAAATAAAAGATGAAATGAAAAAAACACTATTAGAATGTTATTTTTAATTCAAAAGAAAATGACAAATTTGTAAAAATTTGAATCAACTTTTATCGACTACAATGTGGTACCTATATTCTTGGAAACCGAAATATCTGGACATTTAATAATTCACGAGGTTTTACCTGCTTTAATATACATATATGTAAAAATACGACTAAATAACAAAAGCACTTTTGCCGTAAAAACTGAAAACCACCTGAATGCTAATACACCAATTAGAAACAATGCCATTTTCTGCATATATATGAGAGATTCTTTTTCAATCGCCCCAGCCCAAAAAGTCAATGTTCTGGGATTGGCTTCATACTTTGGTAAATTGTTGTCCTATATGATAGTAATAAATCCCTAAAATATAAACTCATTAAAAAAATATTTGTAGAAAGTAGAGGGGGTTGAAGTTTTGACGTTAAGGGTAACATTGTCATTTTCAAATCCGTATAACTATGACAAAAGTTAATGGATTTTAATTTATCTATAATGAATTTTATTGCATTTTTCACGTACTTTTCAAAAATGTATACGAAATTTAAAAAAAAAAATTTTAACCCCTTTTTTTCGATTTTCACCCCTTCCGGTATTTTTTTTTTTTTTTTTTTATTTTCATTGGAAAGCTGAGGTTTTTTCCGATGAGCTATGTAAATATGAAAATGGGACAACAATAATTTTGTGAGTAACAGAATATTAAAGTAGGCGGTGCCGATAAGGGGTGTACCTGGAGATCATCTTTGAGGATTTAGATAGGCACCGCCTAATTTAATATTATGTTTCTCACAAAATTATTGTTGTCCCATTTTCATATTTACATAGCTCATGGGAAAAAACCTCAGCTTTCCAATGAAAATAAAAAAAAAACAAAAAAAAATTCCTGAAGGGGTGAAAATTGAAAAATAAGGGTTGATTTTGAAAAAAAAGGGGTCAAAAATTTTTTTTTTTAAATTTTGTATACATTTTTGAAAAGTACGTGAAAAATGCAATAAAATTCATTATAGATAAATTAAAATCCATTAACTTTTGTCATAGTTATACGGATTTGAAAATGACAATGTTACCCTTAACGTCAAAACTTCAACCCCCTCTACTTTCTACAAATATTTTTTTAATGAGTTTATATTTTAGGGATTTATTACTATCATATAGGACAACAATTTACCAAAGTATGAAGCCAATCCCAGAACATTGACTTTTTGGGCTGGGGCGATTGAAAAAGAATCTCTCATATATATAATATATATATATATATATATATATATATATATACAAAACTATTTCGTCAATACTATTATTACCTATAGCTATTTGCTACTTTTTATTTTATTCGATGAAATTATAATCAATTTTTTTTTACTTTTTTTTCCCGCATTTAAATAACAACTTATTCATCAAATAATTTCGTAAAATTTTATATGAAAAATGTATTTTTAAAAGTCAAATAATTAACATTTTAAGAGTTTAAAGTTCATTGACGATAAATTAGAAATGTGACTAATTTTCAAAAACCGGTCTGTTAGATGTTTGATAATCAAAACTATGTACCTAACAAATAAAACTATATATGTATGTTTTAATTTATAAATAATTAATTATAAATTATTATTATAAAACGATTCTCTTATTAAAAAGAGTCTACTTTCTATTTTTTGTTATTTAAAATAAAAAATAAATTATTATTTACAATAACAATAGTTATAGACAAGTAGATTTTTTATTTATAAAAGAAAGAGTAAAAATTGTTCACGTTGTCGATATTGTAGTTTCTTGTTCTGATGTTTGTCTTATAGTAGTAGCAGTAACCATTTCTACTTTAGACTTTCGTCTGTCCATTAGACTCTTGAATCACTTGAGAAAATGCTTTCAATTCTTTTTCTTTTCTTCTTTGAAATTTTGCTCATCTTTTAAACTTGGATATTTCTTTTTTAATCTAAGTTGTAACATTTTGTCAATATTAATAATCAATATATATATATATAATAAATATAATCAATAATGTTTTTAGAAAATTACAATTTTTTAATTTTCTGCATATTATGTAATTTTAAAATATTTGCCTACGAACATCGGGTGAATTATTTGATCCGAAATCTCAATTCTTATTCAAAACAAAACGATTTAAAAAATCAATCATCCAAAATAGAATATATATATATATATATAAATAATTTATTCAAGGTGTCAAAAATTATTATGAAAATCGCACTTGAATTAATTCAAAGAACGTTTGGACATTAATCATTAGAAAGTTCAAAATTCGTCTGTCGTTAATTTTCAAATCGTTCTTTGAATTTAAACACAACATTAGCTCTCAATATGGTCCAATGAATGTCATATATTAATAAATAGATTTTTTCAGTTCATTATTATAGAAATTAAATTTAAAACAAAACAAAAAAAAATTCCAATAATTCTTCCAATTTCTTCTTTTTTTTCCCCTTTAACTAAAAATTTAAAAAATATTTGAATTTTTTTTAAATTTTAGTTCAATAATGAAAATTTTTGTTGGACAAAAATCAAATAAATTTGGTTACACCAAAAATAGTGATTATTGTTTGTAAAAAAAAGCGCCATAAATACATTGTTTTTACCGATATGAAAAATGTTCTACTTTTCACTTCGCATTATTCGCGAACGATGACGCTGTCACTGCTTTTTCACCTACTTACGTATATAAAAATTTACAAAATGGGGAATCAATCAACCTTTGACAGTGAGACGATGATTTAATTAAAATGACTTGCACTAATTAGACTTTAAATTTAAGAAAGAAGAAAATAAATAATAATAGTAAAAAAAAACATTTGATGATTTCTTCTTTATCATTGTAATGGCACATTATTTCACATCCTCATTTTATTCCACCATTCATACATTCCATTTTATTAAAAAAAAAACAAAAACAAATGAGTCTTTCTCTCTATAAACTAGAAAACCTTCAACTTCAACATTGACACTGACCTTGAACTCCCATGATTCTGATGAAATCGAAAAATTGTAGATATGATGTTATGCAGTTTTAATATTTAATTTCAAAAAAAAAAAACAAACCAAGAAAATATCATCAAACCTTTTGTTGATATGATTAACACACTATTATATTGATCAGACGGGACACGTGAACTAAAAGAAGGGAAAGGAACGAATCCAGGCGATTGCACTCAAGAAACTGCTGCCGTGTTCTTGTTGAATTGTAAACGAAACAACAACGCTGGCGTCGATTACGTTCTGTATATATTATATTGATGATTACGAAAAAATGATCATAAGCGCACTCACGCGAGGTATATATAATTGTTAGGAAAAATGCATTCAATAAGCTAATGAGGAAAATGCAAGTGTGAATCCTCGATATATAAAGAAGAGGAAGTTCAATTGTTCTCTGACCCTTTGGGCCTTAACCACCAATGAAAAATCTTCACGCCACGATGATGAATCTCAATATATATATATATAAATATATAGTTGGATTAGATTGATCCTGCAATTCATTTATAATCGTGAATATATTTCAGTGCGGCGTGAAGTGTCTCTGTGACGCATCCCACGGTCGACGGCTTTTTCGAGTCAAGTGGAAACTTTGCGATCGAAGTTCGAATCAGATATAGGAAGGTCGCTGGGTTTATTTCAAATATTATATACTTTCTCTTTGGCCCTTTCGCAACTTCTTTTTTTTCAATCACTTCGAATGATTTTTCAAATGTATAGAAATAATTCTAGAATTAAAAATTTTATATTTCAAGGTAGTAGAATTAGTTTTTTTTTTTTTTTTTTTTGCTCTAGGGAGTAAAGTTGACGTTTCTAACTCTCAGAGGAATTAAAATTATCTTTTTTTTTGGTGTAGAGGGTAAAAAAATGTTTAGACCTAAAGAATAAAATAACTTTTTAGCCCTAGAATGTAAAATTCTTCTTTTAATTCTAAGAACTTTTATAACTCAGTGGAGTTTAGCAAACACGTTTAGCCCTAGAAATTAAAATCCCTTTTTTAACCCCTTGACATTAGAAAAAAAATACTAAACATAATTCGATTCCAGTGTCAATGGATATACTAAGGTTTTCAAAGCCGCTGAATCCGAATTTGAGGTCAGATTTAAAAAATTCAAAATGGCGGACCCAATATGGTGGAAAAATTTAAAATTGATTCGATTTGTTCAAAATTCGGTACGTGGGGGTTTTTGGGGTCGCTGAATCAAAATTTAAGGTCAGATTTGGATTCAGCGACCCAAAAAACCCCCAAGTACCGAATTTGGAACGAATCGAATCAATTTAAAATTTTTTCCGCTAAATTGGGTCCGTTATTTTGAATTTTTTAAATCTGACCTTAAATTTGGATTTAGCGACCCCAAAAACTTTTAAAACGATGATATGATATTTTTTTGGACAGTTTTGGGCCCACAAACGATTTTTCCACTAGACTGCGAAGGGATTAATTCCAGGAAATAAAATAAACGCTTTTAACTCTACAAAGTAAAATAAAATTAGTAGCCCTAGAAAATATTATTGTTTTTTAAACTTTAGGGAGTAAAGTCAACATTTTAAATCCTAGGTCGTAAAAAGGACACATTCAGCTCTAGGGACTAAAGTAAAGGTTTCGAACTCTAGGAAGCAAAATAACTTATATTTATAACTTCTATTTCTGACTATAGAGAGAGAAATAAACTTTTTTAATTCTATAGCATGTAAAAAAACCTCTTTTTTAATCCTAGGGCGTAAAATGACCTCTTTTAGCGCTAGAAAGTAAAATTGCCTTCTTTTTAATTTTAGGATCGTAAAATACATCTTTTTAACTCTACGAAGTAAAATGTCCTTTTCTTGCCTTAGTGAGTATAAAAATAAAAATTTTTTAAATTGTTAAATTAAAAAAAATCGAAAACTAGTTTTTGTCAGGAAGTTCTATTAATTGACGTCAACAAAAACCTTTGGTGTATATACTGAAAAAGAAAAAAAATTATACATTCTAATTAAATCAGCATTATACTATATTAAAATAAAATAAGGAGAAGAGAGAGAGAAAGAGAGATTGGATAATGATTGTAATTGTTTTTATAAATCTACTTTGATTTAAGAGCCGCATATATATATAGTAAAAATGCAAGTTATTGAATAAATAAACTCTTTGAAGTAATGATAGTTTTTTTTAAATGCAATGTCATATACGATAGAGAGAATAAAAAACGTTTTCTCATTTTTTTTTGAAATAAAATTCATAGAATATTGAATAAATTGAAAAAGCCCAAGAATATACGTTATTGATTTTTTTTCCAATCTTCGCGAACCTTTTCTATCCGCATAATTTATGAACAAGATCTTTTAAGAGAAATGGATTTTTTATGCTTCCTTATTGAAATATTACAATAGATATATATATATATATACCTAATGCATCTCAAACTACTCTTATTTTTTAACAGTGTAATAAAAACGAAAAAAAAAATTGACACTTTTTTATATACTAAAAATGAAAAAAAGTAAATTTTAGAAAAAAAAATTTTTTTTTTTTAACTGTATATTATTAAATTACACATTTTTATCATTTTTTGCATTAATCTATATATAAAATTTATAATTTATTTTATAATATATGTATATATATTATAAATTATTATATTTATAATAATTGTTTATATAAAATACTTTAACTTATAATAATTATTAAATTATTTTTACTATTATGTAGATTATAATATTATTTTATTAACAATTTTCGCATATTAGAAAATAGAAAAAAATAATGCAAACATACTTTTTGTAGTTTATAAAAAACGAAAGATGAATTATGTAATTAATTATTATGTATCTTTGTTATTTCTAAAGAGGAATAATAACGTATGACATGAATGACGATGAATCAGGAAGCTCGTTGACATTGACAATTATTGGCACCCTGGACGTCATTGTTGTAAAATATCAAATTAACATTTTATTTTAAAAGGTATCGTAACTCAAGAAAATTTATAACTAATATGGAAGTAATGTACAATATTATAATCTATTACATTAAATTTTACTACAATTTACTTAAATTTACACACACACACACCTACTCATGCAAATAAATTTTATAGAGTATTGTATTTCACTGTCTCATTCCATAAAGTGAGGATAAAGTCTTATATATAAGAATAAACATTTGTTTAGTCATTTCATAATTTAAAAACTTTCATTATTTTTGTAAACCTTAAAATAGATAAAAAAACAAAATTTTTAATAAAAATAATAAATAAAGAATTAAAAAATTTATCATATATTTTATTACAAAAATTTTTTTTTATTATTATTATTTTAAATATATTTTTATTGTTTAAAGTTGTACCGCAAAGTTCTTCATTATGAAATAATTTCCCTGAAGGCAAATTTATATACAGAAATGTAGAATGGAAAGTTCTGACTCAGGGGCCTTATCAAATGTAAAGAAAAGTTGAAATTCTATATTTGATTGTGTAAAAAGAGATGCGGTTTGAAAACAAAAAGAAAAGATAGCGTTCATCTTATTATTAAATTTATTGAATAATTTAATTTTATTAATTTTTATTTAAATAGAAATACCGAAAGTAAAATTTTGTTAAAATTATAACATTTAATAGAATATATAAACAATTATTAAATTATTATAACTTTTATAAGAAATGAATAATAATAACAATAATAATATCGTATAATATTTCGATAGATGAAATTTTTTAAATAAAATAAAGATTTAATTAAATGGAAAAATTCTATTTTAAGAGTTTTAAAAGAAGAGACATCAGCTCGCAGAGAATAATAAAAAAAAATTTGAATTTAAATAATGCTGATTATTACACAATTGTTGTGACCTGTGACATAAATTTTTTTTCTCAAGTATCTAGTTTTTACAACTATGGTGTATTAATACTTTTCTATTGTATAATTCATATATATATGATTCAAGTACGCATATATTCAATTTAAATTTTTTAAAAGCTTTATATTAATCATTTTATATTGGGGAAAAAAATTATTGATATGTCTTTAAATAAATAATGCATGATTAATAATTCAAAAATTATGCGCAAATAAATTTTAGAAAATATCAAAATTTTACTGCATTTATTTTATAAAACCTTTGTTATTCATTTTTTTTATACACTGAGAAAAAGAATTATTTGTTTCAAATATAAACATCAGTTTAAAAGTTTTTGTTTAACCCAACACAGTTTTTATGTTTAATTTTAATATATAGAAAATATTTTCTACTTTGGCTTAAAATTATTATTTGTTTGAATAATTATGTTTGATTCAAACATATTTTCTGTTTGGCTTAAACTGAAAATATGTTTAAAATTTTTATGTTTGATTTAAACATAAAAATTTATTATGAATAAATTGAAATCAACCATAATTTATGTTTAAATTAAATATATTTTCACATTGAATCAACCAGAGAATATATTAAATTTAAACATAAATATGTTTGACTGTATAACAAAGCTATTTTAAGTTTGGGTTAAACATATTATGTTTGAATCAAACATATCGTTTTCTCAGTGTATTATTCAGTAATATTACACGGAGAGAAATAATTGGTTAGGCTATGCTAACAATAAGTATTGGATAGGATAGCAATTTTTGTTGGGCTCTATAGCGCGATCAAATTAGTTTGCTGCTGCAACTATTTCTGTTGCATACTTTCAAGTTGGATACTGTAACAAATTTCGATAGCTAGTATATACATTCCGTTGAATGCCTCATCCATCTCTCTTGCGCACAGTTACCTTTAATTTTGTTAGTACAACTATTTTGATTGGTGGGATATCTATCCCTTTTTTAATAATATTTAGAAAAAAATAGATTTAATTAAATAAAAATATCTTTCATACACGATACGATAATAAATGTTTTTTTACTATAAAAACAAACATTTACTTGACCGGATATGAAATTTTTTTATTTGATTCCATTTATATAGTCACTTATATGGTAAATAATAATTCATTTATAGACATCAGTGAAATTATAATAAATGAAAATTTATTTTCATTTCTCTTTTATACAGTATTCAAACGCATAGAGAGGACCAGACTTTTTTATCGCACTTCCATGATGACACATGTTATGGTGCTTCGGTTTTAGTGTGTCTTGAAATAAACGGATATACATTTTGTGATGTTCCGATACTAAATTATCTAATAATTCCGCGCAATCCCAATGAACAGCTGGAGCCATTTCAATGTCGACTATCTTACGAAGTGTATGGAAGAAAGTCCATACTTCGTCATGAGAAACAATGTCGCCAACAAGAAATACGATTAACACTTTTCACGAGACGCGACGATATGAACCGTCATTACAAGCGCGGCATCCATATGCAAT